AAGTACTTTGATAGACCATAATAACACCTGTTTGCAATTATTATTCGCCTTTTTATTTCCTCAGATATATTGTTATTGGGGTTAACCGATGTCCCTAGATATATGAACTCATTGACTGCTTCGAAGTTTTGGTCATTGATGATTAAATTTGTGTCAACATTTCCAGCTCTTGTGTTTGTGTTAGTCGCCATGAATTTGGTTTTATTTTGATTTATATGTAACCCCATTCGTTCTGCTGCTGCTACTAGCTCGGTTAGGGTTTCCGCAGTTCTCGCCCTAGTTCTTGTTATAATGTCCACGTCGTCTGCATATGCTAGAATTTGGACTGATCTATTAAATATTGTTCCCCTGCTATCTAAATTAGCGTCTCGTACAACTTTTTCTAAGGCGACATTAAAAAGCTGACACGCCAGCGCATCTCCCTGCCTTAACCCACTATGTATTTGAAATGGAGTTGACGAGTCGTTTTGAATTTTTACTGCTGATAGCATCTTCGCCATTGTCACTTTTATCAAACATATGAGTTTTTTTGGAATTCCTAACTCATTCATAGCGTTGTAAAGACTTGGTCTTAAGACACTGTCATATGCCGCTTTAAAATCGACAAAAATATGATACATATCTATGTTAAACTCTTGCGCTTTTTCGAGGATCTGTCGTAGTGTAAAAATCTGGTTAATGGTTGAACGTCCAGGCCTGAATCCTGCCTGATATTCCCCTAGAAACATTTCAGTATAAGGCTTTAATCTCTCGTGCAAAATATTTGATAATATCTTGTATGCTGTATTTAGGAGAGTTATTCCGCGGTAATTATTGCATTCCAATTGGTTTCCCTTTTTGTGTAACGGGAAAATTAAGCCTAAGCTCCATTCTTCTGGCATTTGCTCCTCAGACCAAATTCTACAAACAATTTCTCGCGTCACCTTGGTGAGCTGCTCTCCACCGTGCTTAAATAACTCTGCTGGGATGCCATCGCTACCTGGGGACCTATGGTTCCTTAGTTTTTCTATAGATATTTTTATTTCATATACCGAGGGGGGTTCCACGAGTTCCTCATTTCGGTATTCCAGCTCTATATTGTTAGTAGGTTCCCCTTCCAGCAACTCTCGAAAGTGCTCTACCCATCGTAAAAGGATGTCCTCTTTGTTGGTAAGTAAGTTGCCTTCCTTATCATTACAATAGTTGATTCTTGGTTTGAATTCTTTTCTAATACTATTTATTTGATGGTAGAACTTTCTTGTTTCTCCGTGACTCATATGGCTTTCGAGCCGTTCTAACATGTCATTTTCCGAGTCTCGTTTCTTTTTTCGGTGTATGCGTTTTTCCTCTCTCCTTAAGTTTTTGTATCTATCTATTGTTGTTCTAGTTTTTCGTTGTTGCATGGTCCTAAATGCCTCGTTCTTCTCATCTGTTATTTTTTTGCAGTCTTGGTCGAACCAGTCGTTTCTTTCTTGGGTTCGGGATATTCCCAATGTGCTTTCGGCTGCTAATTTCAGAGCCTCCTTGCAGTTGTTCCACATTTCCGTGCTTGACTGGTCGACTACCCAGGTGTGTTCTAGGGTTTCTTTTATATGTGACTGGAACTGTTTCTCCTTGTTTTCATTTTTTAGCATATGTAAATTATATTTTACTTGTCTAGTGCCCCTTTCTTTCTTGGCATTGGAAATTCTTTGTCGTAACTTGGCCCCTACCATAAAATGATCTGAGTCAATATTTGCTCCTCTGTAACATCTTACGTCCATTAGGTTTGTAAAGTGCCTTCTGTCAATTATAACATGGTCGATTTGATTTGTGGTGTGTCCATTTGGTGATATCCAAGTGGCTTTATGGATATTCTTGTGATTAAAACATGTACTTCCCACAATTAAATCTTTGGAAGCTGCCAGACTAATAAGCCTTAAACCATTGTCATTAGTAACGTCGTGAAGGCTATGTTTACCAATATAATCTTGGTAGCATATCTCTTTTCCTATCTGGGCGTTCATGTCTCCAATGATTATTTTAATATCGTTTTTGGCACAGTTATCATATGCTCTTTCGAGATCTTTAATTTCTTCGTCTTTTTCCTCGGTTGGCGCGTGCACGTTGATCACGCATATGTTGAAAAATTTTCCTTTTATTCGAAGGATGCATAACCGATCATTTATGGCTTTAAAACCAATAATATAATTTTTGATTCTCTTTGATACTAGGAACGCGGTTCCGAACTCATGTCGGTTCGGGTTGCAGCTGTAATATATATCATGTTCTTTTTTCTGCAAAATGCCGGTTCCTGTCCATCTCATCTCTTGAATGGCTGCAATGTCTATTCTATATTTTAGGAGTTGATCTTGCAGCAGCTTCAGTCCCGCTGTCCTATACAGCGTTCTTACATTCCAAGTACTGATCTTTAAATCATTGTCCTTAGTTCGGTGCGTGGGTCGTCGTCTTGAATTCAGTCCGGCTTTTCTATCTCGAGATTTCGTAACAATAGGTTTTTATGGGATGAGGGAGTTAGCCTCATGCCCAACCCCCTTTTCGGAGGACCATTTCTCCCTTCCTCGTCAGCCCTGACCCTACCTTCCACTGGGGTTGTCAGGATGTCTTACATCCTGACTAACCTCTTTCATCAATGTGAATTTTTTACATGAAATAGTATCCAGTTTGTGCCACTATATGGTCCAATTATCTCATTTTCGCCCGTCATTTGACACACCTCCTTTTTTTCACTGTACCCTTTATTTAATGTTTGTAGATTTGTTTGTCTTATTTGAGGCAACACAGTGTTGTTAAATTGATGTAGAAGTTTAATAATGCTAGATTCATGGGAAATCACTTTTATCTTTATAAACCAATATCATCATCAAAGCCTTTCATTCCAGATGGAATGTTTGCTTGTCTTACTTAGAGCTTGCAGATTTGTTTATTGTGGTGGATCACTCCGCATTCTTATTGTATATTGTCACAGTTTGTTATATGACTTGGCTTTCGTTACAATTTTCCTCCATTTATTTTGATATGTGCATAGTTCCTTCGTTTCTCCCTTTCAGGATTTTGAGATCTCTACCTTGGTCTTTCAGTTTCTGGCTTCCATCTGATGACCTTCTTAATCAGTAAGTCGTCCTGCCTTATCTCTATGTGTACTATATGTAAATCGTAACTGTTTCCTTCCTCTTTCATTATGTCCCTTAGTTCATGGCTCATTCTTCTCATTTCTCTGTTTTTGATTCTTATTGGTTCCATAATTCTGAGGATTTTCCATTTGAATATTTTTAATTTTTCTTCATATTTATCTGTACTTATTTTAAGCGTTAAACGTTAATACGTTTAAAACGTATTATAAGCTAAAATTATCAACTTATAACTTTACTATTTTCAATCTGGGTAATAAGAAATGCAATTGTTATATGTGGTAAGAAAACCAAAGGCAAGAGAGGCTCTTGTAAAATAGGTAGTTGTCTTTTGAATTTTATAAAGAGTAATATTGTACAAGGTACGAATGAGTTTTCATTTTTTTCTGACAATTGTGCCGGACAAAATAGAAATAAACACTTATTTTCATTATACAATTACATGTCTCAATTATATAAGATAACAATTTGCCATAGCATTCTGGAACGAGGGCACACACAAAATGAGGGAGAATAGTGTGATTGAAAGAGCATCACGTAATATTCCAGTCTATTCTCCTCATCAATGGTACACAATTGTCAGAACTGCAAAGAGGAACAACCCGTATAACGTCGTTGAATTAGACCAAGAAAATATATTTGATTTAAAAGAACTTCTAGGACAAACATCCATTCATTGGGACAAGGATGAATCTAATGAGAAAGTTCACTGGAACAAATTAAGAATTCTACAAACCTGGCCAGACTATCGAAATATGTGTTTTTTAAATAAAATTTTAAAGACATTGAATTAAAAAATAATAATCTGGTCAAAAAGGGTAGAAAGACACTTCAAATTAATATAGAAGATATTGAACTGAAGCCAAACTATACGAGGCAAATTCCATTAAAGAAATAGAAATACGACCATTTGCACTTTCTTTGCCAGATAACAGTTATTTTATGTCAATATCATGACTTTTTTAAAAACCTACCTTATGACGAAAAAAGAACAGGAGAAGATTCAGAAAATCATGTTTAAATATTCATAATTGTTTAATTTCAGTTCCTAATTTTAAGTTAAATTTATTTGTTTTATTTTCTTTTTTGTTCCATCTGTTCGATTTTTAAGTAGTAATAATATTTTCTGTCTTTTAAAAAAAAAAACCCGGCCCAGTTGTTAATAATTTCAGAAACTGATTTGTTAAATCTTAAAGCCGACAAAATACGATTTATGAGTAAGTACACTGTTATTGTTAAAATAATTTATACCTATACCTACGACATGATTAGATTATTAGTATTATGGATTAATCAGAACTAGCCTAAGTACTTCCATGTAAGTATATTCTATGTCCAAATTTGGACATAGACTATATTAGCTGAGACTTTACTATTCTATGTCCATCTTTTTTTAAGAACGTGGCTTTTATCATGAAAGCAATAAACTGTAGGGAAAGTAGCTTCTTAAACATTGTTATACAATTTTCTGATAAAAGAATTTTATAATATTTTGAGAAAAAAAAACAAAAAATTCTCTTCTGTAAAATTAACATTTTGTGACTTAGGCTACTTCTGCATCCAAGCGACGATATGCTATTGTTGTTAATTGGCATTCCCGTATTTCTACATTTGAGCTTCCACAGTTTTAGAGCCTATTCTAGATAAATTTTAAATAATGCCGGGGCGAGACATATTACATATTTCCCCTTCAAGAATTCTGCTTGGCCCTTCGACGTAGCGTTGGAAAAGTTTATTACTTCCAGTTTTCTATTTACATTTTTTATAAGCCGAGTGGAGCTGAGGTTTATGGATGTTAAAACCAATTAAACTTTTTTTTAACTATTCTTAAAGGTTGTATTGACTAGAAATTAATTTGTCAAGGTAAAGGGTTTGGAAAAAAAGAACGAAAACAATAATAAACATGGTTTATTCTAGAACTATACATCAAAAACTGCTTCACCTACTTTTCGCACTGACTGGAGCCGTCTTATTAGGATCTACTTGTTTTGTGGGATCATATTTGTATGTTTTCACTATAGGTCCTTTGCCTGCACGTTGGAAGGATAATTCGTCCAATCTTTTTCTTTCTTCTAACGCCTTTGTGATCTTAATATTCTCCCACGCTAAAATGTTTTAAATCAGTATTCCAATCGAGTTAAATTAATTTCTATTTAATATACAGCATTGACCACTCAAAAAAGTGATAATTGGCTATATTAATTGTGATTTTGTGACAATGCTTTATTAATTTAAAGTTTAGTTTTTTAAAAATTTTATTTACTTTACATTTAATCAAGTTTCCTTAATGTTGCAAATTATCTTTAATGTAGGTTTTGACATGGCGGTAAATATTTCACATTGATACTAGCACAATATAGGCGTAACATTTACTTTTTTGGGTAACACTGTGAAACAAGTCATGGATGCCTGAATTCTTCAGCGAAATACCTGTCTAATGATGTGCCACACATGGTCTATTCCCTACTTAAAGTAAGGGTTTATGTACTGGAAGGGAATGGTTGACAAGTGATGTCTATACCGTTTAAAGATGACCTCTTTGTAACAAAAATCGACCTGTTTCAGCATTTTCACACAATCTAATGAATATTACCAAATATCAGGCTGGACTCAGTGTATATATTGACCCTTTTAATCAGTGGCGGCCCGTGAGGTAGTACCATAGAGCCATGGCACTACCTTGCTAACTATGCAGAAACATTATTTATCTTTAAAACATCTTAATGCCTCTTAATTATTTTGTTTGTATTTATCTTCATAAATTATATGAAATCTGGCAGCTGTGAGCGCAATACAATTCTCACAACCGATGCTAGCAACCCACTGCGGACCGGATAATCTGCTGGTGCCAATAACATAGTGACTCCTATGAAAAGAGAAAGATTTTACTAGCATTTTATGTAAGTGGCAGAGATAGAGCTAGCTATATTGTATATTTAATAATAAGTTTAAATGAGACTATTCGAGCCAGGCACGAGATCTTGAGATAGAAGTTTTAGTAGATCTTATCTATTTCGAGTTTATTTACGCCTTCGTTTGCTTCTATTGTATTTATTAACTAAAATATTTTGATTATTTCGTACGTTTAATTTATTTATTGACAATGAATCAAACTAACATATTACTCTTTTGGTGGATTTTCGTTAGAAAAAAACTACAAATTAAAGAACTAAGTCGGCCTTTACCCGATTTAAAAATTGAAAAACAAAGTGGAAGTGGACAAAAACTTCGCTGTCGTAAGTTTAATAAAACTATGATAAAAATAGCTGGTTGTGCAAAATAAACTGTTTTATTTTGTATGCGTTTTGTTTGGAGGTGACGAGACTTGGTCAAGCAAAGGCACCGATGATCTGGTTCATATATGAGAGAAAAGGAAATCCCATGAAAAATCTAAAGTGCACATGAATAATGTTTTTAGCTTTGCAATGTAGTTAGCCTTGTAAGTTAAACATAAAAACCCAATTAAATTCAGCTAATCGTCATACTTTAATTAAACATAATGAACATGTGGGTAAGAATCGATATATCTTGAATCAAATCATAAATTGTATAAGATTCCACGAGGAAACTAAGTTCCTGTAGCTGGCTGTATACCATATATCACAAAAAAAATTTGTTAAAATCCTTTATAAAAGGTGTATAAAATTGTCTCAAACGGGCTATCACAAACACATTGCAAAACGTTTTCGGATTAAACAATCCATCATCAGTGCAAACCTGAAAGTATATAACCACTTTAATTAAAAAGAACGTTAAATGAAAATGTTGACAAAGGTTAGAGCAAAATGTGGTTAATACTTACGGTTGTACATGCTAGTAGCCACCAAAATATATGGGTAAAAACCCTTTAAATGTTATAAATTTGAAATTGTTTTACATTATTAGTGTTTCTAATTTGTGATGGTTAAGTTACCGTTGGATAGGTAACATGGCGGCGTATGACTCTACATGAGTAAAATGGTCCTGAGACGAAGTGCCTACGAGGACCTGTTGATAACAACTGATTATAATGACATTGTTGACAAGTTAGGACGGATGTTGTGTCAGAGCAGTCAGTGTAACTTACGGTAGTTGTCTAAAATTGACAGATGTCAGCCTTATTTAAAATTAAAAAAGTTAAAATTATAATAATGTAACAGTATCAACCATCAATATTGTAATCTGTATTGTAAATTAATCAGATAGGTATATTTGTAACATTGAAAATTGGTTTTTTAAAAATTAATGTAAGTCAACTAGAATTTATGAAATTTTGTGGGATTGATAGGCAACCAACTATACATGTGTAAGGATATATTTATTTTAAGCTAGAGATTTTGTCAAAAGGCCCTGTATGTTGTGAGACATTTGGTACCTAGAAAATGGTAAAAAGACACATGTGGGAAGATGGGTCCTAAAAGATATATTATTGAGTATTGATGTAATAGGTGGAAGTGTGTTTAGATCTGTTATTGAGCTGAAATGTAAATATTACAAGAATGTGATCATAATATGGTGTTCATGTAGTACTCAACTTAAAACTTAAGTATGGAAGGCCCTTTATGTCAAAAAACTACATTTGGTACCTAGTAAAGATAAATAAAATAGATTTTTAAGTTATAAGTAAGTAAACATGAATTACTGGTTATGTGTGTAAAGTAAAGATGGTAGGTTGTTTATGTGTGTGGGCAAGTATGCCAGACTGAAAGAAATTTGATGGCTGAAAGATGGTTAGGTGTGATATTGTTCCTACATTGCTCGAGTTATAACTCAAGAAAACAAAAGGCCCTATATGTTAAAAGAAACATTTGGTACCTAAGAAATATAAAAGTAAAAAGGATGAGTTATAAGTTAGAGTGTAGGTAGGTGAAAAGTTAACAGGCTACGGTTCATATTGGTGGTGGTGTGTATAGATTAAAATGTTCTGATTGTGATGCTACCTACATAGGAAGAACATGTAGATCATTGTTTTCACGCTCTTTAGAGCACACAAAAAGAGAAAATACTTCCACTTTCTCTCAACTCCTTAAAGAACACAACCACACTCTCAATATCCCAGAAGACGTCTCACTTATTCACAACATCCCACAAAAAAACTTTCTCAAATTAGACCTATATGAAGACCTAGAAATCATTAAAGAAAAACAGAGAAGTCCAAATTGTGTCAATCGCCATGTTTCATTTAATCGAGACTTTCTTCCGCTCCACCGTCAATTATTCTCATAACTTATTATCAAACTTACTTCTTCATTATTATTTAAATTCTCATCCTTCTCTTATCACCTACTAATCATCCTTAGCCCCCTCAAACTTTGTTCAATATATCCAACTCCTCACTTCTTTCTCTTCTTTCCTCACTTCTGTCTAGGCATCCAAACGTCAAATCTGACCTAATAACCAATATTCTCCATGCTCCTTCCCAACAAAATAATTTCAGAGCAGTTCATGCCACATTCTCTCCAAAAACAATTTTCATTAATATACACCATCACCCACTCAATCACATATCTTCACCTTTTCATACTGCGTTTTTCATTATCATTTACAACTTCTTTTCACTCATCCAATTTCCCTCAGGGTTTGGTTTTCGGGTCTCTGTGGTCCTCAGTCTTTTGTAGTTTTCCCATTCATCTTCACAATAACATTTAAACATCACAAATCTTTAGTAAACTTGACAGATCCACCTTAAACACAATTACTCTTACATTTCCACATATTGTCACAATACACTCCATAAGCCTGTTAACTTTTCACCTACCTACACTCTAACTTATAACTCATCCTTTTTACTTTTATATTTCTTAGGTACCAAATGTTTCTTTTAACATATAGGGCCTTTTGTTTTCTTGAGTTATAACTCGAGCAATGTAGGAACAATATCACACCTAACCATCTTTCAGCCATCAAATTTCTTTCAGTCTGGCATACTTGCCCACACACATAAACAACCTACCATCTTTACTTTACACACATAACCAGTAATTCATGTTTACTTACTTATAACTTAAAAATCTATTTTATTTATCTTTACTAGGTACCAAATGTAGTTTTTTGACATAAAGGGCCTTCCATACTTAAGTTTTAAGTTGAGTACTACATGAACACCATATTATGATCACATTCTTGTAATATTTACATTTCAGCTCAATAACAGATCTAAACACACTTCCACCTATTACATCAATACTCAATAATATATCTTTTAGGACCCATCTTCCCACATGTGTCTTTACCATTTTCTAGGTACCAAATGTCTCACAACATACAGGGCCTTTTGACAAAATCTCTAGCTTAAAATAAATATATCCTTACACATGTATAGTTGGTTGCCTATCAATCCCACAAAATTTCATAAATTCTAGTTGACTTACATTAATTTTTAAAAAACCAATTTTCAATGTTACAAATATACCTATCTGATTAATTTACAATACAGATTACAATATTGATGGTTGATACTGTTACATTATTATAATTTTAACTTTTTTAATTTTAAATAAGGCTGACATCTGTCAATTTTAGATAACTACCGTAAGTTACACTGACTGCTCTGACACAACATCCGTCCTAACTTGTCAACAATGTCATTATAATCAGTTGTTATCAACAGGTCCTCGTAGGCACTTCGTCTCAGGACCATTTTACTCATGTAGAGTCATACGCCGCCATGTTACCTATCCAACGGTAACTTAACCATCACAAATTAGAAACACTAATAATGTAAAACAATTTCAAATTTATAACATTTAAAGGGTTTTTACCCATATATTTTGGTGGCTACTAGCATGTACAACCGTAAGTATTAACCACATTTTGCTCTAACCTTTGTCAACATTTTCATTTAACATTCTTTTTAATTAAAGTGGTTATATACTTTCAGGTTTGCACTGATGATATATTGTTTAATCCGAAAACGTTTTGCAATGTGTTTGTGATAGCCCGTTTGAGGCAATTTTATATACCTTTTATAAAGGATTTTAACAAATTTTTTAAATTGTATAAGGTTTTGTGGAGCTTTTTGTTAGCTCTAAGAGGTCATGACGAAACCGAAAATTCAGAATAATATAGAGGCATATTTAAGGAGCTGGTCAATTGTAACGCCGAATTGGACAACGACTTAAAGGTTCATATTCAAAGTTCCAAATCTTTTAAAGGTACCTCAAAAACAACCCAAAATGAACTCCTTGAGTGCATTTGGATGTTTACAACCAGGAAATTAAGAAAGAAATTGAAAATTCTCCTTATGTTGCAGTGATTGACGATGAAACGACAGACGTTGCTGGTGAATTTCAATTAGTTATAGTTTTCCGATATTTGTGCAAAGGACGACCAGTTAAGAGATTTTGGAGATTTTATGTGCTAAACGGACGATGATGCTAAGTCCATCACTGAATGCATTTTAAATCCCTAAAACATACTCCGAACAAATTAATGGCTCAAAGTTATGATGGCGCATCTGTTAAGAGTGGTGCATTAAATGGTGTTCAAAAAATTACCTCTTACAAATTACGTTCATTGCTATGCACACCAAATGAATTTAATTATGACAAGTGCATGTTGTATCAATAAGCAGGCTAGAATATTTTTTTCTAATTTATCTGGTTTGTGCTAATTCTTTTCTACGTCTCCTCAAATAACAAAAATTTTGGACGAGGTGGTTAATCGCAGGTTGCCTAAATCTTGTTCATGAAAATAGAAAAGACCTCATTGCAGTTATGGACATTATACAAAGTACTTCACGAGATTTGTCACCCATTAATCAAGCAAATGTTTATAAATTAAAGCTCCAGGATAAACATTTTGTATTTTGGTTATTTATTTTTAATAAAATAACGCCTCACGTTGAAATTATTTTTCATCAATTGCAAAAAGTATGCGTTGATTCTGTTAAGGTGAAAAAAGATTTGGAGAATTTTGAAACAGACATTCAAGGTACTTATAAGGGAGCAAATGGATGTGATTATTGATAACATTCAAGATGAAATAAACACGTCAGAGACAAACGGATAATGATGAACCGATAAAGAAAAAAGCGCGAGTTGAAGAGGACAGGGCCCAGCAGTAAACGGGAAGCCTTAGAGATATGCAATGCAGTTTTATTACAAATAAAAACAAGGTTTACCTTCTCCAGACATTTAGTTGCTTCTAATTTATTTATGTCGGAGAAGTTTTCTGCTTATCAGCATCAGTTCCCCGAATTATTTCTTAATAAAACATGCAGATAATTTTTATTTTTAAACAAAACTCGGCTTAAAACTGAATTTACAGACTCCATTGTAATAACAAACTTCAAGTACAGCAGTAGTAAATACTGATTGTAAGCTGAGTTTTTTTTATTATTAATTAATTTACTCTAAACTGTTTCAATAAATTTTGGTCAATTTCTTGACATCCCAGAAATAGTAGAAACATATATAAGATAAAAGGCAGTTGCCCGAATTCTGGCTTCGTAAAGTGACACAAGCTCTTGGTCTAAGAGGTCTCCGGTAAAAACAAAAATACTGAAAATATGAAAAATTGTCCCGAAAGCGGAACATTTTTGTATACCAATTATTATTTGAACAGATAATTTTACATAAGATATTTAATTAAAACGTAATGAATACAGTTTCAATACTTACAATCCTTCAAACCTTCTCTAAAACCTTTCGGTTTCACAGGCATCTCTTCAGCTTTAAATTTACGCATCTGCTCAATTTTGAAATACTCTCTAACAGCAGGTATTCTCAAAAAACCAACTTGAACTAGCGAAATCAAATTACTGGAGGCCCAATAACAGAGTATAGCACCAGGGAAGTTGACGGTAAATGGTAAAACGATCAATGGTAATCCTCTTAATACATACTTCATTAACTGCATGTTTTGGGAAGACAATTTAGCTGTATCTGTTCCTAACTATAATAAAATTAAATATTTATTAAAAAGTGAAGTAAATTTGATCTAAAATTGCATTTAGACAAAAATTTAATTGTGATATGTAAAATTGAGCTGAGGTAATTTGTTGTGAGACATTGGGAGGACTTGTTTATCTCAAAATTAATACAGTAATAATCTTACTACATATTTAGTGCTTTATTACATAATTTCTGTTATTACCGAAAAAATTTTACTTGAAAATAATATTTGTCAACTCACCTCAATAGTAGCATACAATGTTGCGCTTGTAATGATGGGCAATAGTAAATATTGATCAGGTAATGTCAGATCAGTAAACCAAAATAATCCCCCGGTGCTCAAACTGGCAACTGGAACATTTGTCATCTGACGGAGGCCCATGAAAAAGGATATAAAGATGGGCATCTGAAACAGACAGGGATTTTGTTGATACTTCTAATTACCTTTTTAAAATATCAAGTACCTTGAACACAATCCTAATAACTAAAATATCTTGAAAAATCATAAAAATGGAAGCATTGTCAAAAAATGTAGATCTCATCTTAAGAGATATATTCATCATCACAGCATAAATTTTAAAGAGAAAAAAAGGGTCAAAGTTACAGTTATTTTTCTAAACTTTAATTTTTACCCTTAAAACATGAATATTTCTATTTTGACAAACATCTCATAATTCTTGCAAATGCTTGGCTTTAAATTGTGTACCACTTATTCTGTTATGTGTTACAAAGGTGCTGGGGCACTTAGAGAGGGAGCTCTCTCCACAGGCGAAATTATTCCTGATGAACCATCGTAAGGATTGTACCCATTCACTAGTATCAAAATGCTATCTCAAGTCTGTCACATCCAATTAGCTCCCCCATTAAACCCCTGGAACAATTAATGTAAATGTTCATTTGATTTGGAGTAGCTACAGTCTAAGACATTTCTTTTTGTGGCCTTTTCAACAAAATGTTTACAATTTTATTATTTATAAAGTGTATTAAGTTATTTGCACAGTATAAATATTATACTACATACTCTACATCTCACATTATTTAACATCTTTAATTAAAGACATTGTTTTTGTACACTACTGCAAACCTTTTAGATGGCCACAATAGACCATTTAGGTTAAGTAGAAGGGTGGTTACAAGGCACACTCCCTCTCATATTGAACCTAACTTAAATTAATCCTTTTAGAACACATTTCAAAGACCTTTCTTTGTACCTCAATAGAAATATAATTTATAATTTAATCAATATTATCATACTAAAGATCTCACCTGTGCTAAAGGAACAATCATATTTTTGAATGGGTTTAATCCCTTCTCCTTCATGAACATCATAAGTTCTTGTGAATATCTCGCAGCATCCATTTGGTTGCCAGTTTGCCTAGCCTCAGTCATCTTCAACTGAAGAACTTGCATCTGAGGGAGGTAGTTATTCATTTTTGCTGCATTTCTTTGAGCCATAATCACCAAAGGGAAGAGGCAAATTCTGATCACTAGTGTTCCTAAAACATAATAATGTAAATAATATATATGTATAATTTTTTTTTATTTATAACGTACCTATAGCTATTGCTGCCCACCATTCCATACCCATTGTTACATGTAAATATTCAAAGCAATTCTGTACTATTCCTACAGGACTGTAACCTCCCAAACCTAAAGACGCAAAAGTTGGTTCTCCTAGAGCATTCAACTGATTCAACACTTCCCCAGTTGATTCAACTACTTCAGGAACTACAGGTGGCTCTGGTATGGCTTCTACTATAGGTTCAACTTTAACTTCTGTAACACTAGATACTGCATTAATATTGCTGTCAAGTGTTGGTACATCTGTGACTGTTGGATTGGTAGATCCTACTGCTGCAACTCCTGCAGTGGACCATGCTAATGGTTTATTTTGGGAAATATGCTTTTGGAGATTGCTACATAGCTTTTGGATTTCTTTGTGTAATAGTTTTGGATTTTTCGTCTAAAATCATAAATCATGTTCAATTACTTAATAAAAGTTACCTTATGGTTAATTTATATTTTCCCTACTATTATTCAATCATACATTGCCACATTGGCAGGCTTATATTTGACCAGTAGTCTACATAGCAATTATAATAATTAACATGTTGAGAGCCAGGGTCTCACCATTTATGGCAAAAAATTATAATGGCCTATGATTAACCTTTTTATTGTGTACGTGTATAGTGGCCTTATTATTTCAAAATTGAATTTTTTGTGATGTTAAGGTGTTATTACAAAGTAGATATATTTTTTATGTTTAAATCGACACTGTACTTAAGGTAATCAAATAGGCAAAATTCATCAAACTTTACCAGTATGAATCTTCAAGGAATTTATTTTATAAGTACAACAATTGTTGACTAAATGGATGAACTACCATGTAAAAGCTTAAAGTTATAAATGAATACTAATTATTTGTACAAATTAAATAGTTGTATGAATATTACAATACTATACCTTTCTGTTGATGTCATTCCGCTGGTCTGTGATATTGTTGGAAAAAACACTAATGGCCTCGGAAGAATTATTCGATTTAATTTTCGCAATGTTTTTCTAGAATAGTTACAATATAATATAATAAAATGTAATGGTACTGATAGTACATATAGAGTGATCACTTAAAACAAAAATAATTTTTAATAAGCTATATTACACTTTAATTCAACAACAAAATTGAGTGCACAACTTACCAATATTTTGTTCCAAAAGCTGGATGTATTCTTCACATTCTTACTTTGCAAACACATTTGAACAACTTCCTTATAATCATTTTTCAAGTTCTAAAAAGTGTGTGTAAATAACTGAAAAGTATTTTGAAAATTATAACTTACCAATGAAGTTTTAATTGATTTTGTTAATTTCTGGCAGGAAGCTATAGAACAATATCGAGACATTGTACAAATTAGTATTATTTAATTTAATTTTTACATTAAACCAATAGCAAATACAGTCATATAAGATATAACCTCTAAATAAAATATTTTTAAAGAATCTCCTCTTCTTTCATAATTTTCCAGTTTGTTTATCAAGCTACTGTTAAAACAATAAAAAATTATGTATAATCATAATAACTCAAAACAGAATATAAGTAATATTTTTTTACTTTATACTTAAAAAATTTGCTTTATTCTACTTTAGTGATTTATGTTGTATTAAGAAATTATCTTATTTTTCTTCATTTAAATTTATCCTCCAAACGTCCTCTTATAGACAACCAATTCTACAGAAAATTTCACAAAATCACTAATTTCATGTCACTTTTAGATATAAAAAGCTAAAATAATATGAAAAGCAATACATTTTAGAGCATTCTAAAAATTAAACATTAATGGGTACATCAGTTGTTCTTTATATTTTCTACAAACATTCTAATAGGGATTCTATAGGGATAAAGAAAAGAATTGAAAGAATTAATGAATGAGTAAAAGTTCTTATTAGTTTTTATTGCATTCCTTACTTTATTAATATATTCACTATATCTATGAGAAAAAAAAACAAGAAAAGATATTAAAATCAAACTGACATTGATATATAATACAACATTAAAGAAATAATTTTGACAATTTACTTTTAGTTGAATATTTTTATAATTATAATATAAGATGGATACCGAAAACTTTAAACCTTCTCTAGAAGACAAAGAAGTAGACAGTCTTTTCAATTTGTCATCTTCCCATTTAGTAAATCTGTTCGTCAAAGAGGCCATTAATACGGTTTTTGATGAATGTCTACAGCAACTTAATATATTAAGACATTTAAATATGCACAATACCATTGAATTGGATCGCGATGTTATTAAATATGAAACTCTTCATGACAGGTATATAATTAAACTTATACCTAATAAAAACTATTTTTAAATCATAGTCTATAAGGCATAAATTTGGATAGTATTTATAACGTTTATTTTATGAACTTTAAGACCAGTCTTGATGGAAATTTTTTTCTTCTTTAAGCTGGAACCAAGTCCGGATAAAGAAGGAGAGTTTGAGAGTAAGGCCAGTGACCCGCCCTTATTCTGGCAACATGTCCTGCTCAGTTCTATTTCAGCGTTTTAATTCTTTTAATTGTGTCCTCAACATTGCCTCCATATTATGTCAAAATATTCTTGGAGATCCAATGCAAAAATTGGAAACGACAGCATACTACCACGTAATACATCCCGCCAACACGACTCGTAAAGATAATGCAGTTATAACTAAAATTATCATCAATGAACAGTGAAGAAGAAAAGTATGTGACCTTTGACATTTAAAGCTTAAATATATACCAGATGCATGGAAAACAAAGGTAAAAGGAGGAAATCATCTACCAAGGTTGCTCAAAGTAAAGGGGACAGAACTCCTTGTGGACAGCCTCCACCTACTTTCGCCTTGGTCGCCTTTCGCTTTAGTCAGAGTGGATATTACTGACCTACTCTCCAGGTATGCCCTTATCCATCTACATATTACTGCAGGTGCGCCTTGTCTACTCATAGCCTCTATCAAAGAGCTGGTAGTAACATTGTTAAAGCCCCTTCTATATCTATAAAAGCAGCTATTGCTATCTTTTTGTCTTCCATCGACTTTGAGATAAACCTATTTAGAAAATATGATAGGCTTTTCGGCCTATATGACTTTGTTAGATCTGATACTTTACCTACCTTAGGCAAGTATATGACTTTAACCTTTTGCCATAATTCCGGTACGACCCCCATGCTAAACTGGCTTTGAGGAGCTTGCATAGGTGTGGTATCAACACCTCTAATTCCATATGCAACAGTATTGGATATATGCTATATGTCCCTGGAGACTTATATGGCCGAAACTTATTTATGTCCCATCTAATTCTGTTTGGTCTTGTGATTGCTGTGGCTATGTACCAATCTGTAGACCTTGGCCTAGTCATCCTTTGGTCTATGTTGTTTTGCCTATCTGCATCATACAGAATTATTGTTGAGCCCGGAAAGTGTGTGTTGATTAGTTCTCTAAGACTTTCCTCTTTGGTGTCCGTAAATTTGCCAATAGCTTTCTTTAGAAAACCTACTTCTTTAGTTGTAGCAACATCATTTGCACGGACTTTATGTATTCGAAAACATACCGGGATATCTGTAATCTCCTCGCAAAACTCTCTCCATGAATTCCTTTTAGCTTTCCGAATTTCTTTTTTGTATAGCGTTAGATTATACCTGTAGGTATCCCTGTCTTGATTACTTTTGACTTTATTATACAGGCTTCGGACTTCTGACTTCATTCTCTTTAAGCCGTTGTTCCACCAGACTGTAATACTCGTACTTTTCCTTGCATCGTGATACATTATTAACAAAATCTTGCGTGACAACTCTGGTATACAATTCGTTGCAGAAGAAATCGACAGACTAAAAAGACACCTGCCAGCCCATCTCAACGAGGAAGCAATGCAACCAACCAAAGTCAGACGAAGATTGAAGAGACACTGTTCAACATACTTCATTTTTAATTTCAGCTTTAAGTTTAATTTTACTTTCAAAAATTAATCCAACAATAAATTAATTAGTTAGTTTTAGTATTGGGAGTGTTATCAGTGGATAATTACTCATCTCATGTATCTATAATATTCATATTTACTAATAGCTTTCAATCCTCCTCCTCCTAAGTGCCTTCTCTATTGAGGTTGGCGATCAATATGGCAAATTTCTCTCTGTTCTAGGCTTGATGGATTAAGTCATTTCCTGTTGTGTGAGTCCAATCTCTGATGTTTCGGAGCCAGGATTTCTTCTTTCTTCCTATACCCCTTTTACCCTCGATTTTGCCTTCTAATATTACCTGGAGCTGCTCAAATTCCTTATGGCGCATTATGTGTCCTAGATATGACGTCTTTCTAATTTTGATTGTATTAACCAGATGAGGTCGTGTGTTCATTATTTCCAGTACCTCTTCATTTGTAGTTTTGCTGGTCCAGCTTATTCTTAGCATTCGGCGGTACATCCACATTTCGAATGAATTCAGTTTGTTGACGTCATACTGTTTTAATGTCCAGGTCTCACAGCCATATAGTAGTAGAGACCACACATAACACTTTAGTGTTCTTAACCTTATTGTGATTGATAGCTTGAGGTTACAGAGCATTTTACGCATGTTCTAATTTCTTTTGAGTGGTCTAGCTGACTGTTTAGCTCTCTGCCCAGGTATCTGAATCTTTGGGAGCTCTGAAGGGTGATACCATTGATTTGTATGTTGGGTGTAATTTGTTCATGGGGGTTCTTGTGGAATACCATGATTTTGGTTTTGGAAAGATTAATATCCAAACCTAGTCTGTGACTTTCTTCTGATAGTATGTTCATCAATATTTTTAGTTGGTCTTCTGTTTCTGCTAATACTACGGTGTCATCGGCATATCTTACATTGTTAATGATGATTCCATTGACTCTGGCACCTTCAGGGCAATCTTCAAGAGAAGCTCTGATGATATTTTCGGCATAGACATTCAATAGAAGAGGGGACAGAATGCATCCTTGACGCACTCCTCGTTCTATGTTTACCTAATTGGTATTTCCGTTGTCTGTTTCAATAGCAGATTGTAATTTTGCAAATTTAATAAAAAAAAAACAAGCATATTTAATTAACTTTAACGAAGGGGTTTCCATAAATTAAGATCATTACTTACTGACCATTTCTAGGGCGACTTTTAAAAATCTTTCAAACATATTCGTATAAAATATTGTACAACATAATAGTTACTTTTGCTGACAATACGGTGGCCATTTCCCTATCCACCACTCGAGCAGGCGTCAAATAAATGATTGCCAGTCCTATACGGACTTTAATATCATAATCTGTATTACTAGTTTCTTATAATTTTTAGATACACAGGAATCGAGGACCATGCACAAACACGAATCCCTTTCGTGAGTACCAACTACGATAAAATGGTTATTGATATTAATACATTTTCGAATATAATTAAAGAAACCTCCAGGGAAATACGCGATAACGGTACTACCAAGATATTGGAGACATGTATTAATGCTCTTAGGAATATGATGTTGGATGATGAAAAACTAGTAGAAGAAAAATCAAATAATTTGAAGATAATTAAGGAGTTAAGAAAACAGTATAATAATGAGACTTTCGATAATATACGTACTATAGAGGAAACGAACGAAAAAATTAAGAAGCTGGCATTTGATGTTGAGAGCGCTATAGGTAATATTTCTTTTGTTATACAACCCACGACACTGTATTGTTGACCATACAATACAATGGCAATCGCTGTGACATGTTACAAGTTTCCACTTCTATATTCATTTCACAGTAGGTACGAATTGTCGTAATTGTCACATTGACATTAAAAATTGCAAACGAAGTTCTGAAAGAATAAACAAATAATTAATAAAATGCCTATTACGTTGTATATTGTCCAAGAAAAAGTGCAACTTGTAACATGGTACTTTTAGGGTCATCCGATTCTTCTTCTTAACGTGCCCTATCAAGTCTCCTTGACGTTGGCGATTAACATGGTGAAACTGTCTCTGTCTCGAGCTATTCTAAAAAGTTGCTCAGCTTTCTTTATTCCTGTCCACTCCCTGATATTCTTCAACCAAGAGGCCTGCTTTCTACCAATTCCCCTGCGTCCTTCGATTTTACCCATCATAATAAGTTGAACAATATTATATCGGTCTCCCCTTACTACGTGTCCAAAATAGGCCATCTTTCTACATTTGATGTTATCAAGCAGCTCGCGAGCAGCATTTGCTCTCTCAAGGACTGCCACATTGGTCAGCATAGCCGTCCATGGAATTTTTAGTATACGTCTGTGCAGCCACACTTCAAAGGCCTCCAGATGATTAATGGTGGATATTTTTAATGTCCATGCTTCGACACCGTATAAGAGAACTGACCAAATGTAGCATTTAACCATGCGCTTTCGAAGTTGAAGTTGCAAGTTATCATTAAAGAAGAATGTCGTGCGGGCTATCTCGATTCTACATTTTATCTCTTGATCTGGATCTAGTTGTTCAGTAATATAACAACCAAGATATTTAAATTTGAACACTCTTTGAATTATATGACCATCAACATATAATCGTGCATCTTGATGTGCTAAACGGCTAAACACCATGTGTTTTGTTTTTGCACAGTTTATGTTTAGGCCAAACTCTCTTCCCACTGTATCAATGGCATTTAAAAGGCATTATAATCCATTGTAAGTCATGTTCTTGACAGAACTGGTATAATCTATCGCCTCTTTCATTGCTCTCTATAGAATGATTCGACATCATTTTCATATTTCTCTTACCTTTTTATTGATGAAGGATCTAAAGCATTCACATTGTTCTTAAAATTAAGATGTGATGCATTGTCTCCGTCGTTGCCTGGTTCCAAGTCCAGGATGAGAAAGGAGAAGAGTTAAGCAAGGGACTAACTATTCCTTCTTGTAAAAAAACATAGTTATGAAAATGAAGCACATGCCCCGACGGATAAGGACGGTTTTTTTAGACGACAAAAGCGACGACAAAGGACAATGAATATAGGAACCTGAAACGTACTAATCCTATATCGGCCTGGAGCCCTTACTCAGGTGGTCAAAGAACTTGGATCCAAAAACATGGACTAACTGCTTTACAAGAGATTAGATGAACTGGAGAAGGTACACTAAAACTAATAAATCAGTAGTATTTTTCAGCGGAACATCAATTCGGCATTGGTTTTATAGTCAGGGAAAGTCTTGTGGGGTCAGTCTTAACTTTCAAACCCGTTAATAAAAGACTCAGTTATATCAGACTTAAAGGACTACTACATAACTATTCCCTAGTTGCTGCCCATACACCGACAGAGTAACAGGAAGAGCATGTAAAAGATAACTTCTATGAGAAACTAGAGGAACTGATAAATAATCTACTCGAAACAGGACATGCATATTATCTTAGGAGATTTCAATGCAAAAATTGGGAAGGAAGCAGTGTACAAACCAACAATAGGTAACCACAGTCTTCACGATGTCAGCAACGATAATGGAACAAGGTTAATAGACTTTGCAGCATACCACAACCTACTAATAAAATCGACAATGTTCGAACACAAGAAAATACACAAACAAACATGGGTTTCCAACGACGGCGTCACAAGAAAGCAAATCGATCATGTTCTAGTAGATGCCAGGAGGGATAGTAACTGTCTAGACGTAAGAAGCCTGAGAGGAGTTGATGGAGACACGGATCATTTTCTGGTAAAAGCGAAGATAAGCGCAAGAATAGCGCCCAAAAAAAACACACAAGAATACACCAACACAATTATGGAATACCGAAGTTCTAAGTAATAAGGAAACAGAACAGAAATTTGAAAAGGCTATAAAAATCGTTCTAACACAGACAGTTCTAACTATAACGACATAGTCTCAGCTTGGAAAAATATTAAATTAGCTCTGACAAGTGTATCAGATGAAATACTAGGACACAAAAAGAAAACAATAAAAAAATGGTACGATGATGATTGCCTGAACTCCATAACAGCAAAAAATATGGCTAGAAGGAACATGCTACAAAACCCCTCGCACAACAACAATGAAATGTATAGACAAAGAAGAATAGAGACAAGATATAGACATAACTAATGAAAAGGAAGAAGAGGGAGTATCAGGAACAAATAATCAGAGATGTAGAAGCAAAAAGAAAGAACAAACAAGCGAAACAGTTTTTCAAAGGAGTTTCAGATATCAAGACCGGGTACCAAGCAAGAACAGGAAACTTCCTTCAAAACGACAGCGGGCAGCTTATCACTGATGACAATGAAATCCTAAAAACCTGGAAGGAATACTTCTATCAACTATTGAACGATCAATCTAGCAGAAATACATCAAACATATACGTACATACAGCTAAAATAGAAGACCAATACCTGACATACGAAGAAGTAATACAGGCAATTAAAAAAATTAAAAATAATAAGACACCAGGTAGTGATGGTATACCCTCAGAGTGCTTAAAACATGGAAGAGAAGCGTTGTACAGTTCTATATACAAGCTAATTCAAGACATTTGGCGAGAAAACACAATGCCATATGAATGGAAAAAAGGGGTTATTGTACCAATACACAAAAAAGGAAACAAAAAGCAATGTATTAACTACCAGGTTACTCCCACCCTAAACACCACCTACAACATCCTTGCAACCATCCTGCTAGAAAGAACCAAAACATACATAAAAGGAATCGTTAGAGATTATCAATGCGGATTTAGATTTAGACCGGACCGCTCTACCATTGACCAGATATTCACAATAAAACAGATAATGAAAAAATGCTGGGAGTTTGATCGTGAGCTTCATCAGATGTTCATAGATTTTAAACAAGCATTTGATAGAGTATGCAGGGCCAGACTGTGGACAGCGATGCAGGAACTTGGCTTTCCAAAAAAACTAATCAGGTTGATACGGATGTGTATGGAACGGTTACGATGTAAGGTGAGAGTTGGACAACAATACTCGGAGACATTTGAAATATACAATGGACTAAAACAGGGAGATGCCCTTTCACCACCACTCTTCAACTTAGCTCTGGAGCACATAATCAGAAGTGCAAGAATCGAAAAACCGAATACAGTATTTCATCGAGAAGGACCAAACTTATTATTGGCATTTGCAGACGATATCGATCTAACATGAAACACACAATTAAGGATGTAGGAGACTTTCGTGCTCGAGAAGGTAGCAGAGAAGATGGGGCTCCAAATCAACGAAAACGAGACGAAATATATGTCTATGAGCCGCAATAACCAAAGCAGAGACAGAATCGGTCAGAACATAACCATTGATGACTTTAACTTTGAGCGCGTTAGAGAATTCATGTATTTTGGAACAACAATAACTGAAGATAATAACGGATCACAAGAGATAAACAACAGGATTCAGGACGGCAACATATGTCTTTTTGCCCCCCAAAATCTTATAAAATCGAAACAAATAACAAGACGTACGAAGATACAGGTCTATAAAACAATCATACGACCCGTTGTGATGTATGGAAGCGAAACGTGGACCATAATAAAGGCAAACGAAGAGAGACTATGTGTTTGGGAAAGAAAAATCCTAAGGAAGATCTTTGGCCCTGTACTGAATGACGCATGAGGCAATATAGGATAAGAACTAACAAAAAGCTTGAATAACTTTACCCAGACTCCAACATCATAAAAGAAATAAAGTCCAGAAGACTCCAATGGGCAGGACACCTCAGAAGACATTCTGACGAACGAACAGTAAGACTGGTGTGGGAGGAAGTCCCAATTGGAAGGAGACCACGCGGCGCCCTCGTCTCCTGTTGCTCAAGACAGAAAACAGTGGAGGCATGTTGTCGAGTCGGCTAAAACCCACGAAGGGTTGTTACGCCACGGAGTAAGTAAGTAAGCATTGTCTATTGATGTATTTACAAATAATCTCTTACTACTAGTTTCTAATCTGAAAAGTAGTCTGTATTACTTTTTGTTATATTTTGTTATTTCAAGTTTTGCAATAACGATATTAAATTTTAAATTCAACTTATTACTTTTATATTCATATAATTTTTGTGTTTACCTTAACACTAATTCTGAATCTGAAACTTCAGTCATTGGAATACCACCAATTCTCAAAAAATTTTTGCCACTTGGTTTAATTTCAAAATCTACTAATCTAAAGTGGGTAGAACAGATCCTGGAATATTTTGAAATCTTTATTTTTTCTCCTAAATTTGCTACCCAAATAGTTCGATCGTCAATATTATTTGGAAACCTACATAGAAAAATAAATGAGTTTTATTCATTTCACTAATTTATTTGAATCCATGAGAAATATTAAATTAAAAAGGTACTAAACAGATCTTTTTTAATCAGATGATGTCTACTTACAATTTAAAAATGTCTACAATTTCATGAACTATAATATTTTGTTCAATACATTAATGAACATGAATAAACCCAATGGTACGCCTATGAAACATATATTTTAAAATGTAAACAAACAGGCTTCCTCATTTTAAATAATGTAAATATTGTATGACAGTACTTACAAATGAAATGAGAGATCGGGATGTAAATATTTCGTTTTTTTTTTGCAAATACAACAATGTAGCACCATTATTATAGTTTGTTTATTTCACTTTTCACAAATATTACTCAAAATACAGCCAAAATATCGAAAAACAACTTTTGGAATAGCTTTTAGGAAATAAACATGGAATAGCATTTGAAATTTGACTTAGAGCCGTAAGACCACAGAATACTAAGGAGTATTCTGTGGTAAGACAGAGAAATGTAAACACCGTTGCCTTTTATAAATAATTTTTAGTGCTTCTACATATAAAATAATTGGTCGATATCTATTATATTAAATGATATGCACACTATGTGCACACTTGATATTTAGATTACAATTAAATATATTAATATAACTAATAAATTATTATTTTGCTTTGATAGCACCTGTAGAGTATAAAATACGGAGTAATATTTTCAGCGATACGCGAATAAGAAATTTTAATAAAAAAACGTGACAACATTTGAAGGTGCTGAGAATGTGACCTATTCAAGTAATTTTGGGTTCACAATTTTATGTAAATAACTGACTAAGTCCATCTGTGTGCATACGTGAATGGGTTAAGCATATAGAGCTCTTCCGATAACATGGGTCTTAAGCTGTAAGTTGCTGCATATTAAACATTCCAAAAACTGCTGAAAAGTCTTCTCTTTTTTCTAAAGCCACCTTCATACTTCCTGATATTGATAATCTTATTACCTAATCCTTATAACCTATGGTTCATGTCCAAACTGTTGTTTTTTAGTGTATGGTCGTCTAGAAACTAAGTACTTTATCAATTGGGAGATTATTCGTGTCGAACAAAACCGAATTACTTGCAAAGAACGTGAACAAAAATTTTGGAATATTTCAAAAGAAGGCAGAGACAAAATTGAGCTAGAGAAAAAGTGCCATTACCAATTCAACAAATATATAGACGAGGATAGGGTGGTAACTGAATATTATTATCTATAATTGTATTAAAAGTACAACTTAATGACATTTTGTACTGTTATAATTTTATTTTTTTACTTTTCTTAACGACGTAACACAATAACAAAACAAGCAAATGTAATTTTGAAACAAAACTTTAATATTTAAAGTAAAACATACACATACGAGTTTTAATACACTTGAAAATGACACATAGGAGGTTTAACTAAGTTAAATAAGAAAATACGAAATGAACGAAGAGACTGCCATAAACTTTCTATGCCATTGGAAAGTGCTAAGTAATATGAGGCAATAATTCACTAGTCAATTGAGGCTTGAACCAGAAGAGATCCTTAAACTGCCAGTGAGGAAACTAAGATCGCTGTTTCATTACTTTGTTTGATCGCTGTTTCAAGTTTCAATAATTTCAAAGTTACTTTTTCCCATCTGAGCTAGACCATTGTTTGATTTTAGAATTGCTTGGAAAGCATAAACTACTGGGTTCAAAGATACGACAATGAAATAGAAAATCGAGAAGCGGAGATGCTTCAAATGAAAACTAAACTAGAAGCGATGTCTATAACTCACAAAAATGTTCTACAAGAACACAAGAAACGACAGAAGGAGATGGCCGAATGGAAGGCTTACAAAAAGGAGATGCACAAGAAAAAAGCGCGTGAAGCTGATGTTAAATGGGCATCATTAATTGTTCAGGTAAGTATTTTTATTCTTCTAGCTTCTTATTTTATTAGGATATAGTCATTACATCTAATTCTACATCGAATTATCCGACATGTTTATCAACGTGTTCTGTGGAACTATTTTTGTTTCTAGAGGAATTAGGATTTTTCCCGATAGTTGCAATTACTGAGCACTGGCTTGAAGTCAACGAACTTTTTTTGAAAAAAAATATATCATAACTGCTAGGTATGATCACCCAAGATCACCTCATGGTGGCACCCTAATTTTTTTTACCAATAATGATTTTTTTCCCATAACAAAATATAACTTTCTGTTAAATGAATCTTTTTTGAGTTTTTATTGGTTTATAACAAGAATCTTAATTTATAGGTTCATTATTTGCATTTAATAGATCACCTGTTTCTTTCACGGAACTATTTTTTCAAAATTATATGCGGTGACTTGAGTATTAATTACGCTGTTGCTTGTGCTATCCAATTATATTCGAATTGTATGGTCTAACAATGCACGTTAATTCTCCTACAAGAATTTTTTAAAAAACATCTATCATCATTGATTTTATTGTCTCAAATTTCTCACCCCTTGATGTACGCTCTACAATTATTAATGCAGAACTTTCTGATCATGAAGCAGTATATACCAAGTGTAACACTCTTAACAAAACATTCTCAAAAACCCAATGTTTAGGTAAGATTTTTTCCTCTCAGAACTTTGGTAAATTCCAAAATTTGTGCTTGACTTCTGGGTGGCACTTTCCCTCCGACTATCAAGCACTAAACAATAATAATCTTTACACTGCCACTGTTTTTTGTCACTATGCCAAAGCTTTTGATTGTGAAAATCACGACATTTCGATAAAAAAATAAATTTCTACGGAATTCGAGGTATTTCTTTGAATTGGTTCCAATCTTATATGAGAAATATAAAACAACTAGTTAGAGCAAATTATACTGACTCTAGTAACAAAAGTATTATATGTGGAGTACCACAAGGTTCATTATTGGGTCCTTTACTTTTCTTTATCTTTATAAACATACAACACATAACTTAACCAACACTAACTTAAAAATCGATGAAAAAATTTTTCTTTTTGCTGATACCAATAACACGTGGATAAGACAGTAGTAAAGGAGCTCTTCAACACTTGCTTCTTAATAACAGCCTTTGGTATTTTTATATACTTCTTCTTCTTCTTCAAGTTCCACTCCTATCGGAGTTTGGAAATTATTCTGGCAATTATAATTTTATTGGTTACTCGCCTGAATAGTTCAATTGAACTGCATCCAAACCATTCACGGAGATTGTGTAGCCACGAGATTTTACGTCTTCCTACGCTTCTTCTACCTTTGATTTTACCCTGCATTATATTCCTTAGTAGTTCGTACTTTTCACCTCTCATTATGTGCCCCAAGTATTCCAATTTCCCGATTTTTGTGGAATTTAAAACTTCGCATTGTTTTCCTAGTTGTTCGAGAACTTGCTCGTTTGTTTTGCGATCCATCCATGATATTTTCAAAATACGTCGGTAACACCAAATTTCAAATGCTTCTAGGTTTTTAATGTTGGATTTTTTAAGTGTCCAAGCTTTAACTCCATACAAAAGGGTAGAGAAAATATAACATCGAAGGATTCTTATCCGGAGCCATATATTGATATATGGCCGCGCAATTTCAATGCGGCATCTTATTTCTTTTGTCTGATCAGTATCTTCTGTGATCCATGCTCCAAGGTATTTGTACGAAGATATTTGTTAAATTTCTGTATTATCTAGTACTAGCTTAACTTTGATGTTTTGTGCTTTTGTAAATACCATGAACTTCGTTTTCTTCAAATTGATTTTTAGTCCATAATCGTGGCAATATATATTTAGTTGTTCAGCAAGGTGTTGCAGTTCTTCTAGTGTTCCTGCCAGAAGGACGGTGTCGTCAGCATATCTTATGATATTAAGTGGCTCACTGTTTATTATAAAGCCCTCACTGATCTCAGCAAGCGCTAATTCTGAGATGGCTTCACTATATAAATTGAATAACAAGGGTGATAAAATACACCCTTGGCGGACCCCACGGCGAATCTGGATATTCTTGGTCAGTTCGTTTTCAACTTTCACTTTTGCTGTTTGATTCCCATAGAGGTTACAGATGATTCTAATGTCTCTACTGTCTATGTTTTTATTTAATAAAATTTCTTTAAGTCGATTATGCTGCAATCTGTCAAATGCCTTCTCAAAATCAATGAAACAGGCATATACTTCCTGATTAATATCTAAGCATCTCTGCGAAAGAACACTTACTGCAAACAGTGCATCTCGTGTTCCCAGTCCTTTCCTAAATCCCATTTGTGTATTACTTATGCCTTCATCTAATTTCTTATGTATTCTATTGTGAATTACTTTTAAAAACAATTTCAAGACATGACTCATTAAGGCTATGGTGCGATGTTCATTGCACTCCTTTGCATTGGCTTTTTTGGGAAGCAGTATGAATGTTGATTGGAGCCATTTTTTAGGTATTATACCTGTTCTATATATGGTATTGAATAGATCCAAAAGAAGATCAATAGATTCAGTATTCACAATTTTAAGTAATTCGATAGTAACTTCATCAGGCCCGGGATATTTACCACCTTTAGCTTGTTTCATTGCATATTCAATTTCTTCTCGTATAATGTTAGGCCCAGTATCATCCTTAAATTCTTTTGGTGCTTTTGTTCTCTCTTTGTCTTCAAAAAGTTGTGCTATATATTGTGTCCATCTCTGCATTTTTTGGTTTATATCTGTTATAAGTGCACATAAAAAGTCATATTTTTTCTCAATTTCTTCTAGTTCTTGGCACTGCTCATGAACCATTCTCTCCTTAGCTTCTTTTATTCTCTTTTTTATTAATCGATCAGTTTCATTATATTTAATTGTGGCTTATTCCCACTTAAATAGTAATTATTCTTCTTAGGATTCTCATTTCAATTGTTTTTGGAATCTTCGTGTGTGAGTGTCTGGTCTCGTTTCAGCGATGTATGTAATGATAATCCTAAAAACATATTTATTTATGAGTGTTTTCGTTTCTATGTTTAAATGTTTGTTTCACTATATTGTATTATTAAAGCATCTTGCTGTTATACTTGCTTTTTCAACTTGTCTGTTGAACTCTTCCTCGATATAGTTCATAAATTGATATTGATATATTTTGATATCACAAGACTTTTTGTATTTTGTGACCGAATTTTCATAATGAGCCATCATTAGCCCTATTGTTGACATGATGTAGCATTCACTGTACATCTCTCTCATCTTCCTCTTAATGAAATATTATTTTTATTTCCTTATTTCACTTTCTCTCTTCTCTCTAGCAATACAACCCGGGGTTATTCATTGCTGACTTAACAATCTGTCTCCACTTGTAAAATTTCCATCACATCATTAGTTTCTATTCTTCGTTTTCTTCTTCTTCTTCTTCTTCTTCCTTTTTGTATGTAGACTTTTTACTGCCATATCCTCTGCTATTCTACTGATGTGTTCGTTTCACTTCTGTTTCCTTTTTTTACCCATCCATTTATGTCTTCTATATTGCATCTCTGTTGTTTCTAGTAGTCGTCTCGTTTTAAATGTATCAGGTCTTGTCTCCGCCGTGTATGTTAATATAGCACTAATTGCTGTTTTATAGATTCTTGTTTTTGATCCTGCTTTACTTGCTTTTAAGCTTTGTTATCGTACTTTTGCTTCATCATATCCTTCTTCAGCATCTCCGTAACTTAATTTCGATTTTACCTTGTAGTGGGTATTTAGATGTTGTCATACATTTGGTTTTTTCTGCTGATATTATCATATTGTATTTCTTGGCTATTGTATTGATGTGTGTTAATATTTGGGGCTCGTCTTCTGCCTTGGCGATTAATGTGGCGTCGTCTGCATACGTTAACAAAATAAGTTTCTTTATATAACAACTTTACGATAATTTTGTATATTTTAGACTTGGTGGCGAGCAATTATGACTATAAAGGGCATAGGTCCTTATAAACCAAAGAAACATAAAAAGAAAAATGATGAAGATTAAATGATTAGTGAATAAAATCGTGCTTATACCTTTATTTTTGTAAGTTTTATGTAATATATCTTATTATACTTACTTCATTTTTAATTAATTTAGATAAAATTGTAAAATAATTTAAGACCCAAATAATGTTATGAACATATTCAAAGTAAAAGAAAGTTATATAGAACACAGATCCGAAAGAAAAGCATGTTTCTACGCCTAGCAGACGCTCTATATACAAGCTCAATTATTCGTAGAGACTCTTTCTTCTATCTAGCTATCTATATATCTGCGTGTTTCTTCAAGTCATCTGACCATCTCATTTGTGGTCTTCCTCTTTTTTGTCTGTAACTATATAGTCTCCAGTGTATATTCATCTTATTCCATCTGTCGTCTTTCTATCTTCTGGTATGTCCAGCAAACTTCCACTTAAGTTTTACTATCTGCGTTAATAAATCGGTCACTTTTGTTTTGTTGCGGATCCAAGTATTTTTTTTCTTGTCTGATAGCCTGATGTTCAGCATTTGCCTTTCTATGGCTCTTTGGATCTTTGCTATTTTTTCCATGTTTTCCTTCTCTTCTTCTTCACTCCTATCGGAGATTGGAAATCATTCTGGCAATTATAATTTTGTTGGTTACGCGCCTGAATAGTTCAATTGAACTGCATCCAAACCATTCACGGAGATGCGTAGCCACGAGATTTTACGTCTTTCTACGTTTCTTCCACCTTTGATTTTACCCTAATTCAGGGTGTTCACAATTACATTCGAGCAATCATTAAAAAGAAAGAAGAAGAAGAGAAACACCAACCGGACCAACTGCAGAGATCTAATTACTATTTTAATGGGAATAAGCCGCAATTGAAGGTTAAAATAAGTTTATTGGCGTTTGAATCTTTGATCTTTGATCTCGCACTGATAACTTGTTTATACTTCAATTAATAGAAGAAAGAATAGCGGTTGGTAGCGTACACCTAGCCTTTATCGACCTAGAAAAGGCGTATGATACAGTTCCAAGACTTAAATTGTAACAAGCTTTATAACAACTCGACATTAGTCCATACCTTTTAGGAGTAATCACAGAAGTATACAGGGATAACACTACTCACCTAAAAAATCGTAAATAGACTATCAGAGCCAATAAAAATACCGAAAGGACTGCAACAAGGATGCAGTATGTCACCCTTACTGTTTAATTTATATATTGAGGCAACCCTCCAAAATTGGAAAAACCACTGCCAGGGAATTTGAATACCCATAGGAAATGACGTACCGTTCTCCCTGAACTTTGCGTATGACCAAGTCGTCCTAGCTCAAGATTCTTATGATCTAGAATTTATGATAAAGCGTTTATACAGAGAATATATAAAATGGGGGTTACAAGTCGGCATGAAGAAAACAGAATATTTAGTTATCAATTCAGATGCAAGTTTTGAAGTGTTGATAAACGAAGACGTGGAAATCAAACAGTAGAAAAATTTAAATATTTAGATGCACTCATTACTAAGAACGGCTTGGAAGAAACCGAAATTAAATACCGAATTAATCAGGACCGTAAAATTGTAGGATGTCTGAACTCGTTATGGTGAGATCGTAACATTTCCAAAAGAAACAAAATAAGAGTAGGCAAACCATAGTCGAATCAGTTCTTTGTTATGGCTCTGAAGTATGGAAATTAATGCAGAGCAGAAGATTGTTGGCAGTTGAAATAGATTATTGGAAAAGAAGTGCTAGAACATCAAGGCAGGAAATGAAGACCAACGAATCGATAAGAAATATCATAAATACTACAGAAACGGTCATTGACAGAATAGAAAGTTTAAATCAAAAATTAATGTCTAGGGAATTTTTTTGAAGAACATCATATAAAATATCTGTTATATAAAAAATGTCGCTAAAAACTGTTGCTAAAAATGTGAACTCAAAATCATTTAAATCTCTTAAAAAGCCTTTAGCCAGCTGAACTGATTTGCGGTCTGACTTTTCAGAATTCATTATATTATCAAAAACCTCTTTTAATTTTTCCCAGTCTTCAATAATTACACAGATTAATTTTGAATTAAACTACCATCTTTTCTCTGTAATTGTTGGCATACGTCTAGCCGATGTAGATGCAAAAGCGTACGATCGTTTTGCTGAATTATGAAAAAACGATTAGATTCCGGTAATAGTTGCAAACAAATTCGACATTTTGATATTTTTTTAAAGCTCTGTTGCAAAACAAGATTAAGTCGATGCGCTTATAATAAAGTACATTAAACAAATAAACTTAATACTGTGACTAAACTAAACTAATAAATACACTACATAAACTATACTATACAAAAATATTTATATAATAGACTTAATTTCAAAATATTGTCGCTGAGAGAAATTTCCGAAAAATAGAAATACTACATACACATTAAACTAGTGGGTGAAGGCGGATAGTTTATTTTTCAATTAATCTGCACTTCCCAGTTTTCTCAGCTATTACTAACGACAGGTTGATGTCACGTTGCCACGGCAACCGTGAACGCTTGTGCAGATGGATTCCGCAATTCAAAAATGATATTCACCGATTCCTGAATCGTACACAACTAGTGACACAGATCAGGACTTGACCGTCAAGTAGCTACCACTAATAAAGCTCCTTATTTTTTTAATTTTTAGATTAATTAAATGAGAATACATAGTTAATTTCAGAATTTAGATATAATAATGTTGCTTTTATTTTTTATTTATTTGTCTTAATTTAATTATATATTTTTTTTAATCTCACCTTCACCTATTTTACCTGGCCAGCCGCCGCTGCTTTGTGCTTCCACGTAGAAATTGTTTCAAGAGCGTTATATATTTTAATGATTGATTTGCTCTGGAAATAAAGATGACCTCCATGCCTTTTAACCCAACGAGCTCCATAAATAATTTGAACAGCAGCCCCCAGTTCCTTTATATGTATTTACTAACGTATCAGACAGAGCTAATGGAACAACAATATTCATTTTGATATTTGTTATAGATAAATTATAAAATATAGCACACAGCCTTAACAATTATTACATAATTGAAGAGGCAGACAACGCTGCAAAAGAAGCTGCAAGTAGTGATAGTGCGGAATGTACTAAGACATTTACGAGTGCGGACGTGAAAGCAACGGTTAAATTTAAAGTGCAATATATGTGGGAAGAAAAGTGGAAAGTGTCATCGGCAAAGCTACGCGATGTTAAAAAATCGATAAAACCCTGGCTCACATTACCAACAAGTCGGAGAGACCAGGTAATATTAACGCGACTTCGACTGGGTCATACGCGACTAACGAATAGCTACGTGCAACAAACCAGAACCAAGATATGACAACTGTGATGAAAAAATAACAATCAAACATATATTGGAGAAATGTCCAGCATTAACGCCAAAGCGCATATTGTACGGTATACCCAACAAACTAAGTGATATTAGATATACAACAAACTCTCTGACACTGTATTCAGAATTGTTGACTTTTAAAGGACAATTTAAAAAGGCTTCCGCATAATTCTACACTTACCACTAGAATCCCTGAGTTTAAATAATTTCAACTCTTGACATCCTACTTATAGGGTTGATGGGTTTTAAATTCTTTGTTTAGAATTCTTTGATTCATATTTAATTTTGTTTGGGGGAGTCATGACCCCCGTGACCCCACCTTTGGATCCGCCACCAACAGTTATTATTTTTCTTATTAATCAAGCCTCACCGCATTTGTTTATTTTGTGCGTCAAAGAACCTTAGATACAAAGAGTATTAATGTTAGCATGTTGTATATAAGATTAAGATTGACTTTAATTGTATTGTTTAAAATGTTCATGTTCAAATAATCAGTAATTTCATATTTTGTATCCAAAACCTTATAGCTCCATCTCGGCAAGATATAGTAACTATACTTCACAATACAGTGATCTACATATTTGTCGATTTAACTTTGAGAAACTTCACTAGATTAACGTAAGATGGCAGTATTTGTATTAAACCGCAATATAAAACTTCATATTTGGATGTAAAATTCTCACAGTAGATTCAGTAGAAAATACATTTCTTATTTTTTTTTATTTCTCTCTCCGTTTGTTTATTCACATATCTAATTTTTTTTTTGTTTAGGTGTTTGTAACGAATTGTAGATTTGTAAATGAGATCCACGAAGAATTGGTACTTATTCTATGTGGTGGAAGTTTTTTAGAAGTATGGCGAGATGCGATATAATTTTTGATTTTAAAAGACAATATTTATTTTCATCTAAATAAATCAGATACTATGCAGATATTGCTTGTTAGGGCGTTATATTATATCTATCATTTACTATTGTGTATTACATCATCATCAAGCTTATATCTCTGTATTTGCTATTAATTCAACTAATACAAATTTGATATATCTAACTACGTGGGGAAACGAATAGCATACAATAACGACTATAATAAATAGAATTGAAGAAGCACCAACAAACTTTATACAAATGAAAAAGGTCCTTTGTAATAGAAATTTTACATTCTTCTTCTTCTAAATGTGCCTATCTTTTAGAGATGTTGGTGACCACATTGACCCATCTTATTCTATTCACAGCTGCTCGAAATAGATCAGTTGACGTTAGACCAGTCCAGTTCCTAAGATTGGCCAGTCAGGATATACGTCTACGTCCAGGACCTCGCTTAGCCTTAATCTTACTTACTTAATTACTCCGTGGCGTTACAACCCTTCGTGGGTTTTAGCCGACTCGACAACATGCCTCCACTGTTTTCTGTCTTGAGCAACCTCCATCCAATTCTCCACGCCCATAGGGCTTAGGTCTCCTACTATATTATCTTGCCACCGAAGACGGGGGCGTCCGCGAGGTCTCCTTCCAGTTAGGACTTCCTCCCACACCAGTCTTACTGTTTGTTCGTCAGAATGTCTTCTGAGGTGTCCTGCCCATTGGAGTCTTCTGGACTTTATTTCTTTTATGATGTTGGCGTCTGGATAAAGTTCTTCGAGCTCTTTGTTAGTTACTAAGATGTAACATCTAAGAATTCTTATGCGTATATTGATACTTAAAGATAAGTTGTAGATAATCTTCCTAGCTTTTG